CAACACTGCACAGACATGATCCATGTGGTTACGTGCAGGAGCCACTCCCTACTTGGCCTCTCTGCCCAAACACCCATCCCTGTGAGCTGTATGTATCCTTAGCTCTGTGCCTTTCCAGCCAATCTGGGGACTAACTTGGGCTTTGTCCAGGTTGTCTATGAGTCCTCTGGGACCTGCCAATTGGTAATAACATCCTGCTTGCCCAGTGGTGCTCACAGTCACCATCACAGCCCTGGGAAAATATCAAGAATAAACTTTCTTTTCAGATGAAGATGACAGAAACAGTGACAAGTTGGTTCACAGGAATTCAGCAGTGGAAAATGAGGTCAGTTTCTGGGTCTATAGTTGGGGGAAGACTATTGCCAGCTGAATTCTGCCCTTCTCAGAGCCCTTGTGACAGGGGTTATTTCTCGGCTTGTCTAGTGTGGCTCTCCCAATACCTCTGGTCTGACACGTCTTAGTAGTCTTAAGCTTATTTCCCTCTGACTTAGAATAGTTGTTCTCTCCCAGCCTGACTCCTCAAATAAACTTTCTCCTCTTGGCTTCTACCATTTAGATGCTAGTGGATATGGAGGCTTTTCTGTGAAATGTGACCTGTCCCTCTCTCTTTAATCTCCTTCTTAACAGTGGTCTGGACTCTATGAGAGTGGGGGAAAGGGAGAGAAAAGAATATAGATGGAAAAGGATTAGGGGAGGGTTGAGAGTTAATCTGTGAGCCTACAGACACCTACCAATGTCTTTAAGCCTTCATGGTCAGCCTGAGGCATTCACAGGGCCATTTGGAATGGTCCTAGGTGGCATCCTCACCATATGTATTGTGCATGTAGATACAGCTGATTTGCTACCTCTACCCAAGTCTTGCCCCAGCCAGTACTCACGTTTCATAACTTTGGAAAATTTTAGCTGCACAGACCTCAAGGGATGCATTTGATGTCCCTTTGACATTCAGAGACCGCTGTACAGCCATTCTGAATAGAAAATCCTCTTCATCATTGTTACCCACAAACTAGGGCAGGAGGTCGTCATGGTGATTGAACTGGAGACTTAGGGAGTTCCTGGGGCTGAGCAGGGAGGGCTGTAGTGGGACCTTCTTGAATTTTCCAGAAAACTCTTCATGAAAATTCCCAGACCTTCCAGAGTCTGAAAATTTTCTCCCTTTCCTAGTTCTTTCTGTGTTGTGGAGTCTCCCTCCAGGCTGATCCAAGACTTTAAAGGGCACATCATCAAAGAGAGCCCAGAGACCAGGAGGACACTGCCCTGTGCCAGGCTTACTTTATTATCCATGTTGTGAGTGGAGCTCTGCCTCCTAGTGTTTGATTTCTGTATCTTCCTCTTTTATTAGGTCATTATCATGGACCCACTCTTTCTGTGCCCTCCCTCCCCTACAGTTTCTGTAAGTTCTTGCCTCGTTTTTCTCCCACTATCATAGAGTTCAGGACACTGTTAAGAAGGAGATTGAGGAGAGAGGGCCTGATCATATCCCATAGATGGAGATTCTCTTCCTGCTAGAAGCAGTGCAGAGTGATTACTAGGGACCAAAGGAACCCTCTTATTACTGAACACATCCAGGATTTCACCACCTTCTCTTATGGCAGAGATTCAGCAGATCTCTTTCTGCCATGAAGCACCCAGAGCATCACTTAAGGTGAGGAATATTGAGGCTCAATCAGTGACCCCCTCAAAAGACACGCCACTGTTTGCTACATGATTCCTATGCTTACATTTAGCCTCTGCCTTATCACCTTCCTGTATTTCTCAGTCTTTTAAGACACTAATACACTTATTTATTTTTTAATCTAATCATATGAGTGTTTACTTATTCAGCCAACATTACTGATTACCGACTAGATTCAGGGTGCTTCTGGAGCTCACCCTGGGGTTGCTGAAATAAGTAATGCAGAGTCCCTGCTCTTTAAAGACTGACATGATGCCTGGCTTAGAGTGTGAGGTCTTAATGCAGGGACAAAGTGGTAAAGGCGTTATGATAGGAAAGAAAAGGAGATATGTCATACTACCTTACAGAATCTGAGCACAACTTCACAAAAGAAAGTTTGCTTGGATTGAATTAGATGAATAAGTACCAATTGAACAACATCTACTCTTTGGTAATTGTCCTCTGCTTTGTGGTTGAAGAACTAAATACAGCTTTGCCTTTAGGTTCCTGGGAATAAAGTCCTTTCCGCTTTTCCTCTAAGAATCATAGAGGGACCTCCTGTTTAATAATAATTAATTACAATTTATTTTAAAAAAATTCAAGAGCTTTAAGAGTACAAGTGGTTTTGGTTACATGGATGAATTGTATAGTGATGAAGTCTGGGCTTTTAGTGTACCCATCACCTGAATAGTGTACATTGTGCTCAATAGGTGATTTTTTTTATGCCTTATCCACCTCCCATCCCCCCCTACTCTGAGTCAGAAATCAAGTTAAAATAAGTAAAAAAAATTAACATTTACTAAGCAGTTGTAGACTTTTACGCTAGGCTTACGAGTCATACAACACAAAGTAGAAGCAGGTTATACTCAGTTCCATGTGTCTCTGCTTCTCTGCTTCACCCTCTGTAGTTTGGTTTTAGCCTCACTGCTCTGCTCACACTACTACTATTCATGTCTTGAGTGCCTTCCAGAAATGCACAACTGTTCTCTGACTTCTTAGCTAAAAAATGAGAAATGGGCTGAAGTGTGCAACAGAAGGAGGTAGGCAAAAAAGACAATGGACTTTCTACGTGGAATGTTAAGCACTGAAAGGTGAATTTTTGTAAGATAATGAGATTCCCCTGGATGTCTCAATAAAAATGTCGTTGTTATTTCAAGTTGACTCTAGAAGAAAAACAGAAAAGCCTGGGAGATATATGCCCACGTGGCATTTCAGACTTTATAGCTATCATATTCAGAGTTTTGGGGCAATATGATTGTCATCATTAATTTGTACAAAAAGCACTCTGAGTAATCTATAGATGCATTATCCACAAGAACTAAGTCATTCTTGACTTTTTAATCTTTACACGCACATGTGCACCACCATCCCAATAGAGAAAAATACAGTTATTTCAGACGACTACTGTCCTTTAAGGACAAACATACAGACACACACGTATCCAGTTTCAAGTTTTTTTCTTTTAGTATTTCAAGGGTGAATCCCATGGACAAGGTTAAACACAACATCTTGCTACTTCATGTTAACATGGGGTTGTCAAAGACACTGAATTGTTATCACGATGAGAGGTAAACATATCAAAAGTTTGAAAAAGAGAAGGAGAGTCATGGAGACAAAGAAGAAAAGAAAGAAGCCTGTGATCTAATTCTCAGTCATCTTCTATTGCTATCATTAAAATAATTATAACTATAATTTGTAGACTAATTTACATATCAAGACTTTACATACATTACTTAATTAATATTTACAATAAACCTGTAAGATTGATGTTATTTATAACATAAGGAAATCAAGACTGAGAGAGTTTTAGTATCCTGCCAAGGTTTTATTCCTAGAATATGAAATGGACAAAATTTAAACTAAGTCTGTTTTCCTCCAGTGCCTTTATTTATCTCACTACATTGTGAAATGTTCACCATGCTGTCTTATAATAATAAAGTATAATAAGATATGTTTCTTTAAGAAAACAAACCGTTAAGACAATGATAGAATTTCTAGAGATATGTCAGAAAGTTATGGATAATAAAGGAAGATTACAAAGTGCTCTGAACATAATCAGTATTCATCTGACACAGGCAATGAGTCCTTTTAAGGGGCGACAGTGCACTTTGAATTTTGAAGGACCAATTCAGATAAAGGAATTTGAAGACAGATTCCACAAAAGGCATAAGTAAGCCTAGTGTATACATATAACTCCAAGAATGCAGGGATGATTAGTAAAATATATATGTAGAAATATATTAACTGTAAGACAAAAGTAATGCACAAAAGATAACTTTTGATAACCTTTTATGCCAGTCTCAAAGTATGATTTTATTCCATGCATTAAATTCACCAAAGGATTTTAATCTTAGGAGTAATATGTGAGATCTGCATTTTAGAAAAAATCCATGACTTCAGAGTTGAGAGTGAATTGGGAAGGTATTTATGGCAAAGGCAGAGAGATGTTATGAAATAGTCCAGGTGAGAGAAGTTGGGTGTGAACTAAGGCAGTGATATTGAGGGTTGAGAAGAAGGAGTGGATATAAGAGGGGTTAAAATAAAGTCAATGCGAATTGGTGAATGAATGAAAGGGGATGAGGATTATGAGCAAAGACAGGTTTCAAGTTTTTGGCTAGGGTTGTGTAGGTAGCTAGGGATGTAATTCAAAATTATTGCCAAAAAGTAAGTAAAACAAATTTGGGAAAAATAGGTGAATTAATCCAATGTTGAATACATTGAGGATGTGGTGTACAGATATTCATAAAGCAAATGGAAAAATGAATTTATATTTCAGAAGGATATTTGGGTAAAGAAACATAAATTTGGAAGAAATAAAAGTATATAAACAGTTAAAACCATGGGAATAAATGAAGTCAATTAAGAGATAATTACAGAATAGGGAAGAAAGGAGAGGATGGATCCCTGGAATCAATGACATAATAACATAGAGAAAATGGTGGGACTGAGGCTACGGGGGGAATAACTCTAGAGTGCCATGTCATGGAAACAGAGGAAGACTATTTCAAAAACAACAGATTGATTTACAGTGGTCGTTAATGCCAAGAGGCTAATAAAAATAACTCTTTGAAGTTGACAGTTCCAAAATATAAGCAACTGATTAGTAGAGTTTAAGTATCTCTCCAAAAGCAACTTATGTTTACTCTTATCTCTAAACAAAACTAAGCTTGTATTAATTCAGACATGTGGATATCTCACCTGTAAAACAATCATCTCCACCAAAGGAGATTTTCTTCCCTGTAGCTAACTTTATTCCCTTCGGTTGCAGGTAAAGTCACTTTATTCTTCTCATGATGGTGGCTGCCCAATTTGGACAATGTGATAATGTAGCAGGAATGCAGAAATCATGACTTTGGTTTCTTTTTTCTCTTTCCTCTCCAAGCCGTTGAAAATACTCCTTATCAATTCAAGCTGGAGGCTACCCCAGCCTTCTTTTTTCCTGGTAGGGATTCCGGGTTTAGAGGAAAGCCAGCACTGGATCACACTGCCCCTGGGCATCTTTTACCTCCTTGCTCTAGTGGGCAATGTTACCATTCTCTTCATCATCTTGATGGACCCATCCTTACAGCAACCTATGTACCTCTTCCTGTCTATGCTAGCTGCCATTGACCTGGTTCTGGCCTCCTCCACTGCACCCAAAGCCCTTGCAGTGCTCCTAGTTCATGCCCATGAGATTGTGTACACTGTCTGCCTGATCCAGATGTTCTTCATCCATGCATTCTCCTCCATGGAGTCAGGGGTACTTGTGGCCATGGCTCTGGATCACTATGTAGCCATTTGTCACCCCTTGCACCATTCCACGATCCTGCATCCAGGAGTCATAGGGTGCATCGGAATGGCGGTGCTGGTGCGGGGATTACTAGTCCTCATCCCCTTCCCCATTCTGTTGCAAAAACTTATCTTCTGCCAAACCACCGTCATAGGCCATGCTTATTGTGAACATATGGCTATTGTAAAACTTGCCTGCTCAGAAACCACAGTCAACCGAGCTTATGGGCTGACTGTGGCCTTGCTTGTGATTGGGCTGGATGTCCTGGCCATTGGTGTTTCCTATGCCCACATCCTCCAGGCAGTGCTGAAGGTACCAGGGAGTGAGGCCCGCCTTAAGGCCTTTAGCACATGTGGATCTCATGTTTGTGTCATCCTGGTCTTCTATGTCCCTGGAATTTTCTCCTTCCTCACTCACCACTTTGGTCACCATGTACCCCATCATGTCCATGTTCTTCTGGCCACACCTCATGCCACCTGCACTCAGTCCTCTTGTCTATGGGGTGAAGACTCAGCAGATCCACCAGTGAGTGCTCAGGGTGTTTACACAAAAGGATTGATCTGAACATATTCTCATTGTGTCCTTCAGAGGCTCCTTCTGAGGACATAGCCGGGAGCCTACGACTTGTGTAGATTACATGAATACAGACCATTTGCAGTGAGTAGTCCTTCTAGTCTTACTAGTGCCATGCTAAAGAACACCTACAGATACTTGGCTTATTGGGATGTACCTGGACACCTGGATTTGTGAATATTTTTGCTGTGTTTTCTTTTGTTCTCAATTTCAACATTTCTCTACTCCTTGTGTCAGTAGGACTTGGGGATAGGAGAAATAGATGATAGCTCTGAATGTGTCATCTTTCTCACCTTTGCCCAGTGGTAGGCTGTGGTACACTGTCTGGAATTGTGCAGTTCCACCCTTTGGTTGTTTTTAGGTTTAGAGTTTCTTCAAAACCTCTAAGTTAGTGCTGGGACTCCCAGATCATTGGCTCCTGTTTACCAATAGGGTCTCTTCAAAGCAGCTGAGAAGGTCACAATGTAAGAAAATAGCATTTATTGCAATATGGATATTACTTATTTATTTAAAATAAACATAAGTGGAGAAGTTATGGTAATAGGTTCTAGGAATAATAAAATACAATTTCCATTTTCAAGGAAGAAATCTGTCTAGTAAATTTATTTTAAAAGATGTCTCTTTGTATTTTGTATTTTTAACTTATTTATATCAGTGCTTTGGATAAAGAAGGAATGAGACCAAGTACTGCATATATGTTTGTTTTATAAATATTCATTTAAAATCCCAAAAATAACCATATAATTATTAGCATCTAATAATTATAAAATGTGCTGGATTCCAGTGTAGGTAAACATAGCTATAATAAATAAAGCAATAAGTACAGTAGCAGTTATGGACACTTAAAAATTAGTTTCGCTTTTGGAAATAGGGCATGTGGAGTAGTGTCAATTAGATCTTCCATTTCTGTTAATAGGAACTGGGTGAAAAGTTAAAAGACGACTGCTACAATTGATATATTGCAACCTGTTTGTTGATGTTTCCCTAAGATCTAGCTTAATTATTTCTGTTCCTAGAAGGTGACACATTTTGTTTAGTCATGGAAGAAGTCAAGTCATTGCTACCTTGAGGTAAGATGCTCAGGTGATAAGATTTATTTTGGGATTTCATATTGGTAGGAGGGATAGAGTTAATAGTTGGTTTTTCTAGTTTCTCTTTTCATAGTAAATTTTACTCATAACTAATACTCTGTCTTAGAGGCTTAGTATTAGGCCTTTAACTTGGCCGTTGCAAGTAGATGAATTAGGGAGGACTGGTATGAGCTGTTTTTATTGCAGGAGGAATTACGCATTCTAATCAGCTTGATTCCCAGTGTAGGGCTGAAACTCTGGTAAATTGTCCTAGAGAAACTCAGGCTATGATGTGTGACATCTATTGTACAAACTCTCTTAACCCTAGAGAGTCTAAGCTTCATTTTGGTAGGCTATAATAGGAAGTCATTTGCTTATCTTTCCATTTAGACCACTTGCTGATGCTTGCGGAGTGGATATGATAATAGGATCTCAGGCAGCTTTCTTGGATCACAAGACAGAAATGTGAACTGAAGATGGAAGGATAACAATACAGAAGAGCTTTGTTCCTGACACTGTCTGGGCCACCAACCATGACTTGAACCTGAAACGGAAATAAACCTGTATCTGGGTTAACCTACCATATGGGAATCTTTGTTGCAACAGACCAACCTACAGCCTAAAAAGTATACATTTTTCATCTCAGATCTTCCAAGTGGGATATGTATTCTTTTGCCTGAAGTATATCTTTTAGAATTCCTCTTGTAAAGGTTTGCAGGTTTTTTTTGTTTTAAAATGTCTTTAATGCAGGGTTCTCTGGTACGTCATAATTAGGAAATATAAGGGGAACCAGAGGACAAAGAAGAGACTCTTAATTACCTTCTGTTAATTCTAAATCTTTGCAACTCTTCCTACTACCTTATTTCACCTGGACATGAGGCAATTTAATTTGAAAATTAAACTCCAAGCACAATTATCCAGCCATCTGAAAGACATCACAAAATCTCATAAATGGAACATTTGTGGAATATAAAATGCAAAAAGAATGAGTGACTGTTTTCCAGGTTTCTCTCTAAAAAGCAGGTCATAGTCTCTTATACAGGTTAGGCTATGGTATTTAAATACAAAAAAAGAGAGCATTTACTACCATCCTTACATATCCATGAGGCAGGTCCTGAAACAGATTAGAACATGTTTTCTACTTTTGAAACACAATAACCCCATCCATTGCATCCATTGCTCCCAACAATCTCTGCCTAACTGTATTAGTGACCCTTCTTCCCATATGGAAAAGCAAAGCAAAGGAGAGGAGAAACCGGAGAGAAGAGAGATGTATTTACTCCCGTATGTCCCCCGTGTGGTGAGAGGAAGAAGAGCCTTCCTCTGTGGAAGTATAAAGTGCAGGGAATGAATTTTGTTCTAACAGGCGGTATGAGGGAGGCTTCTTATCTTTTGAGTGAGGGAACTTTAGGCTTATTGCTAATGTCACATGGGGGCAAAAAGTCATGGGGAGCAGGGACAGGAAATTTTTTTTTTTTTTTGGTGTGTGTGCAGGGTCATAGTCTCTTATCAATACAGAATTAAATTGGAAAACATTAACAATAAGATAGCATGAAAATAGTTAAATAATTGGAAACTAAACTAAATACATCTCAATAACCCATGGATCAAGTAGGAAATCACAGAGGAAGTTAGAAAATATTTCAAACTGATGGAAAAGTACGTATGGCAAAAGTTATGAGATGCAACCAAAGAGAAAACAGAGAAAAATTTATACTTTAAATGCCTATATTAGAAAAGAGTAAAGTTGTAAAATCAACTACCTAAGTTGACAACTTAAGAATTTAGAAAAGGAACAATAAATTAATTCCAAGGTAAACAAGAGTAAGGTATTCATAGTGATGAGGGCAGAATAGAGAAGGGCCAAAATGGCCGACTAGACAGCCAGAAAGAGCTTCTCCCACCAAGAGACAAAACCATCAAGAATACTCACAACACTGTGAGCAGATCTTTGGAATGGAGAAATTGAGAGCAGACTGAGGGAGGACACAGACGCTGGGCTGAAAGAGGAGGAAGCTGGAAATCCTGCACCAGGTCTCATTTCTGGCCTTGAGTGGCTCCTGGGGAAGGGGTGAATTGAATAGGCATGATGTGGACCACTCTCCATGTACCTCTGGAATCCTAGCTGCAAGGGACCCCACAACTCCCATGAGTATTTGAACTATCAGGGAGAACTGTTTGGAGACATGGAAGGAACAGGACTCCAGTCCATGTGGAGACCAGAGGGTTTGGCATGGGACTGGCTGCAGTAGAGCACAGTCAGAGACACCCATCCCCCAAGACTTGCCATGCTCCTCTAGGTGGCTTCGACCTTGTTGACTGTTGGACCTGTACAGAACAGGGATATCTTGCCTGTGGGACCAGGCAAGTCTGGTCTGAGTGCTGTGCTGTCTGCCAGCCTCTTTCAGGGTCCCAGCATGGCTGCATGTGCTTGCATCACAGCCTCAGTTGCCAAACCAAGGAGCTTCCCAGTGGCAACTGCCATAGCTCCTTCACTAGCAGACTCCACCTAATTGTCAGAGAGCTTTGGCAGAAGCCCCCCCACCCCTGCTGGCATGCACTCACCTGCCCCCTGCCCCCACTGCTTTGCTAGAGTCATAAAGACATTGACACCCTACCATCACCAATGCACACACATATACACAAACCTCAATGTCACCCTACCCCTGCCAATGCACACGTATGCATGGACCCCACCATGCCATTAAACTACCACTGTCATTACATTGTCACTGCCACCATGCCACCACTCTGCCACTGCCAGCACATGTGCTGCCCTGACACTGCCTTAGCAAACATGCAAGTGAGAACTCTCCTGCCTCTTCCCTGATGAAGCACTTTTGGCAGCACCCTCCATTGGACTGTGAACACTTTGGGTCCTCTAGTGCAGTAGGTGCTTAACTTAGAGGGGCCAGAGAACAAAGCCATGGGCCTTGTTGCAGCCCCTCTGGGTTACAGCACACAACCCAGGAGTGCTGAGTTGAGCTGTGGCCCCCTGAAAATATCTATACATGAAGACAGTTGATTGAATCCAGTTTGCACCACAGTGAAGCCCTTAGGGGCACCAAAGAATATAAAAGCAAAAAGCCTCATCCTAAGGACAAATTCAAATATTAAAGGAACATCGCCAACACAGATGAGGAAAAACCAGCATAAGAACTCTGTCAACTCAAAAAGACAGAGTATCTTCTTACCTCCAAATGACCACCTGGTTCCCAGCAATGGTTCTCAACCAGGCTGAGATGGCTGAAATCTCAGACATAGAATTCAGAATCTGGATGGCAACAAAAATGATAGAGATTCAGGAGGAAGTTGAAACCCACTCCAAGGAATCTAAGGAATCCAGTAAAATGATAGAAGAGCTGAAAGACAAATAGCCATTTTAAGAAATAACCAAACTGTTTTGATAGAGCTGAAAAACTCACTACAGGAATTCTGTAATACAATTAGAAATACTATTGAGATAATCATGTGGTTCTTGTCTTTGGTTCTGTTTATATGCTGGATTATGTTTATTGATTTGCGAATGTTGAACCAGCCTTGCATCCCAGGGATGAAGCCCACTTGATCATGGTGGATAAGCTTTTTGATGTGCTGCTGAATCCGGTTTGCTAGTATTTTATTGAGGATTTTTGCATCGATGTTCATCAGGGATATTGGTCTAAAATTCTCTTTTTTTGTTGTGTCCTTGCCAGGCTTTGGTATCAGGATGATGTTGGCCTCATAAAATGAGTTAGGGAGGATTCCCTCTTTTTCTATTGATTGGAATAGTTTCAGAAGGAATGGTACCAACTCCTCCTTGTACCTCTGGTAGAATTCAGCTGTGAATCCATCTGGTCCTGGACTTTTTTTGGTTGGTAGGCTATTAATTATTGCCTCAATTTCAGAGCCTGCTATTGGTCTATTCAGGGATTCA